AACCTTCTTCTCTATTGAAATTAGGGTGTTTTTTAATTTCAATAGCCTCGCGAATCATCCTTGGGAGGAATCGGTGTTCTTTTGCAAGGATCTGTGGTTTGTCAAACCTGATGTAGTGGTTGGGTCTATTCAAAATGTGCTCACAAACTGCAGACTTGTTTAATCTATTGTGTTTGATGTCAGCTATATGTTCTTTCACGCGGGTTTCAACATATAGAAACGTCGGGAATTAAAATTAAAAATAAACGCGATAAATCCGTAAAATTAGTTTCATTTATAATGTGTAATCGCGTAAATACAAGAAATTATTAGTCTATTTTTCGTCAATAGTAGCAAATGTAAGCTTTTAAAACAAGATAATTTTGACGTAATTTGTTCTATAACATCATTCAAACCGATTTTTTGCTAACATTATTGTTTTAAAAGCAAACTGAAAAAAACTGAGAAAAGAAACCATAAATTAGAGTTTGTTTTCTTTTTAAAATTTTCCTCAGTCTTTTGAATATTAAAATTCACCAACCTCGAGTAATTTATACGACCGTTTAAGTGAATTTAAATGTACTTTATAATAATACCAAAGATTTCGCTCCGAACGACAGATAACCTTCGGAATCCTTAATGTCGAACCGGCGTATGCGGAAATTGCGAATCTTCAGTTAGCCCCCTCTATAATTGCGTCGTCGAACGTCTTGAAGAAGAAGCAATATCGAATAATCCGAACACAATATCGCAATAATAATTGTGCTGTTTTATCGTCGTTTCGCTCAAGTGCTAAGATAGAACAATAAAGGTTTCGAAAAAATTTTTGGAGAAAAGATTTATTCTACATATGACTTGGCGGTTTCAGAATAAGGAACAAATATTTGTGTCACCCATAGACAATAATTGTTCCGGATCAGGGTGTTTGTTCCCGAAGAGGGCTGATATCAGGCAGGGTGTCGGTCGCCAAAATAATCAAGTTATAAACACTTACAACATGATTCACATTTTGTGCCTTCCCCATCCAGGTGGGATAAGGGCCACCGGCACAGCACCATGTAGTAGAGAAGGCCCAAAAGGTCAAAGTCGCGTAAGATTGCGTCCACGCGCTCTCTTGTCCCCGGCTAATGCGACAGGGAGAACATGGGTTTTTTTCCTCACGAAAAAAAAGGTGGGATAAGGGCAATAGGATGATGGTATATAAAAAGGTTCATAAGGAAGTAAACATTTTTCATATGAAAAAAGTTGGCATGCGAGCAGGCAAGTTCAAATGTTAGTGAATGCCGCCGCTATAGGACATATACAACCAAAGAGGTTATGGATGCGTTACCAAAAAAAAGTGGGATTTGTTTACCTCAGTCATCAGACGAAACGCGAAAGTATAATAGGTTCACTTCACACCAGTCTTGTCTCATACAAGACCATGGTACTTCCCTGAACGAGCCTGCCCATTCGTGAAACAGCATAAACTGCTGCGTGGCCCTACCACAGTGAAATAACCAATAAGGCTGATCCTGAATCCAGATCTAAGAAGGCACAACTAAACCTGAGGAAGTAATTTGCTATTGGACTAAGTTAAAATGTGTCCAGATTAAAAAGAAGGTCTTACGAAAGAAGTATGGATCGATAGTATAATTAAAATTAATAAAAAGCAAGAATATATTTTTATGTATATGTGTGACCTTTGTTCAGATCTGAGGCAACAAGTATATAGTAAAAGTAAGTTTTCTCTACCAACTCTCAATGTGTTTCAGAGCTCATGAATCAGCGCTTACAACGGAAAGACCACAAAAAGAGCCAGCACCGCCAGCGCTGCTAAACTTCCGCTAACTTTCCGCATTGCTTCGTGCTCGAAAGTTGAAATTCTCAATCGTATCCCGTCCCGACGTCGGATTGTTAACAAAGCGGCCGCATTCAAGATGTATTCGAAAAGTCGCGTCGGGGACTTAGAAACTGGCGTTGAAAGGAAAGTCCGCCGTAAGAGAATTGTCAGTGTAGTTTTTAGGGTTCTGTACCCAAAGGTTAGGAGTTGGGACTCTTTTTTTATTTATTTCTTTTCAAATACGTTGCCTTTACTTTAGGATAACATTGTCCTGTGTTGTAAGGACGTTTTACAAACATAAATTTCACGCGGACAAACACATACCCAGATGCGAAAGAACTATCTGTGTGTCATACAAATAGTTGTCCCTTGTGGGAATCGAACCCACGACCCCCGACGCCGAAGCCAATACCTTGGTCAACTGCCCCACGGAGTCATCCTCTATTACTATTACTAAGACTCCGCTGTCTGTCCCTCTGTAGTATCCCATGAAACGTGATAGGTAGACAGTTGAAATTTTGTATTTCTGTTGCTGCTATAACGACAAATACTAAAGAACAGAATAAAATAAAAAGTATTTAAGCGGGCTCCCATACAACAAAGAGGTGGCGGTTGCAAGGCAACCTATATGTGCTTCCCGATTAGTTTATTATAGTTAATCGTATGGTACCCTTTGTTCGCAAGTCCGACTTGCGCTTGGCCGATTTTTTAATGTCTTACTTTTTATTGTACTTTACTGGGTTCGGAATTCGATACAGGAAGTTATAATTTTCCCAGTTTATTCTTTGTTCCTAATGCAAGATAGATTCTGGAGTCGCATCCAGAAGACCCGAGGGAAGTGGAAGTATTCTATACTTTCGCGTTTCCGTTTTTAGAATATACTACAACTACATATTGCACCAAGCACAAAGAGCGTTGATAAAATATTCAAGTTATTTTGTTTTAAATTTAAATGATGGTTGACGTTGAATGACGTATTATAATTGTTAGATTTACAATATAATTTAAATAACTATAACCTTCGGATCTGGTGATGGCATCCTAGAGAAATCAAGGGCAATCCTCAAATGTTATAGTTATCAACAATGTTTTTTTTAATTTTCGGTTTGAAGACTTTTTTTTTTGTTGAAAATTATACTTGTAAACCATATTGTCTAGTAAACCAAGAAAGTTTTGTTTAAACAGTGAAAGAAATATAGTTTTTGATAATACAACAATAATAAATAAAAGAACAAAAACCTTCATCAACGTCTAGCAAGCATATTTTAAAATATACCAATAAAACTATTAAAATTGTTATATCGCATATTAAATTTAATATATAGTTCTACCATTAAAATAGATTAAAATTTCCAACTAATGGTGAGTAATAAATGAACCTTCAACGCTATCAGTTTCGACTAGTTTGTGTTATCGCTGCGTATTGAATATTGAAAAAATAATTTAGCGAAACTGTTATTAGAGACACTACATCGGGTTTTATTTACACGTTTAAATATAAAATCACTATTTCATTAAACTGTAACTATCACAATCTTTCATTTTTTTTATCTGATTCAAACCAAATGACGTTAGAGCTACTTAGTTAGTTAGTCTTTTTTTTACGTGAAAAGTTTCCAAGCGAGCAGAGGGTTCACCTGATGTTAACTGAATACCGCCGGCCATGAACATCTGCTTCATCCGAGGGTTGCAGATGCGTTGACAAAAACTTTTGAAAATTGGGCTCCGGCCAACTCACTCACCAAACGAAACGCAAGTTAAACACTTCCACGTCACGCCGGTCCTCTGTGAGGTCGTGGTACTTACCCGGACGGACCTGCCCATTCGTGCAACAGCGAAGACTGTTTTGCGTGGCCCTAAAACAGTTAATTACCATTTGTGTTACCCTTTTTGTTACATTACCACAGATAATTATTTCTGATTTGGCCCTTTGTCTACGTGAAATTTATGTGTGTAAAATGTCCTTAAAACATAGGATAATATTATTCTACACCTCTCAATATTGTAGCCTTCAGTGAATCAATGAAATTACTACATCATCTTTTTGGTCAAAAATTAAAATATACTATATGAAATTCAGAACATACTCCCAAATCATTTTCCAACATATAGTTGAAAACGATGTGACTGTAAATATTGTACAAAATAATAAGGAATTTAGACTACGTTTGTTTCCAAGGGATTTGAACGCCAGTATATCTTTGATACAACTAAGCGTGACTAGTTAGGTAATGTTGTCCTTATTTCTTGAGGCGGAAAGTTGAGATCCGAATATCTATTACGCCTATCGATGGAGGAGTGAGTCGTCTAAATGTCGACTAATATGGGACTCGTACTATGACTAGTAGCATCGATATGAGGATAAGGTTAGATTTTTTAGCGTTGTAAATGCGGCTCCAGTGGCGCAATTGGTTAGCGCACGGTACTTATAAGGCAGTGTCCGAGCGATGCCGGGGTTGTGAGTTCGAGCCTCACCTGGAGCACGTACTTTTTTTTCAAACGTTAGCCGGCTACGATTCATCTAGGCGGTATACAAATTAAGATAGTGTGTGAAACATCAATATATGACTGTATTAAATGACCCCTGCGTTATTCTCGCCCAGTCACAATTAAATGTTTATCAATGAAAGGTATCATATTCTTTAGAATAATTTACATTTTCATTTAAATTAATAAATGCCATTATCGTACATTCTTTACAAGAATTTTTTAAACGTTTTTTTTTTTTGTGAAAACATTGACTTTATTATACTTTTTATAATCTTTTATTATATTATTATACGTGTACTTGCAAACAAAAGCTTTTAAATGATGTTCCAATTATTAAATTTGATGAAGGATTATGGAAGTTATGGCGTTCCGAGAAACGCCTTTCAGAGATACTTCTTATTCCTTAAACTTCTAATCTAACTTTTTTAATGCAATTGAAATACAAAAATAAATAATTTTCCTTATATATTTGATAAATCTATAAAGCGATTTGTGGGATTTGCATATCTGAGTTGTTATATGTGTGTGAAATAAATTTCGCGTATGTTGTAAAAAGATCATTGTATATACCTCCAACAACCGAAGCTCATTCAGTGACATGATTGAGTGTCGCCAGTGTGCTTAAGTGGAGTGATGCATTTTGGTTGGGCAGTGTAGTGAGACGGCAACACTAGAAATTGCTTACGTTAGAGAAAATGGCAATACTCACATGTGTAGTCCCAGCTGTCTTGGTCGTTTTTGAACACGTTGAGTCTCTCGGGCTGAAAATAATAAAATAATAAATAAATATTTGGGACACATTCGTACACAACATTTTCTAGTCCCAAACTAAGCAAAGCTTGTACTAGGGGTACTACAAAACTGATAAACATACTTAAACATACTTTTCTTTTGTAAATAAATACATATTATACATATAGAAACACCCAGACACTAGAAAAACACCATGTTCATCACACAATATTTTTCCAGTAGTGGGGATCGAACCCACACCCTCTGGTGCAGGAGGCAGGTACACTACCCATTACGCCATTCGGGTCGTCAAAAATGAAACAGTTGTGATTTTAAATTTCTCTAGTGCTCATCTCTGCACTTGAAAAAGTACGAAAAGTTAAGTTGCCGCTGTGGGAATTGAACCCGCGTCTTCGATATTCGCTTCGATTTTTTTTTTGAGATAGCAACACGAAAATCTCAACGACTTTTATCAACATTGTTTTTTTTTTCGCATTTCGTACTTTCTTATATGAATTTCAATAAAACAGTTTTGGTTAACAACGGGTTCCCATCGAAGTAAATTTTGAATTCCCCCGTCATAACGACATCACAATAATCCCGTTTATGACGTTAACCTACGCTCATTTTAATACCTTCCTGTCCCGACGTAAGTGGAATAAGAAAAAAATAATAATAAAATTAGGCGAGTAATAATTTCGGGTTGTCAAAATTTCTATCATGAAGGGGGGGGGGGGGGGGGGTAGGTTAGGTAAGGTTACCTGTGCAAATGTGCGGGAAGTCGATGGATGCAGGTGGCTCAGGATCGTACTTCATGGCAGTCTATGGGGGAGGCCTATGTTCAGCAGTGGACTCAAACAGGCTGAAATGATGATGATGATGATGTCAAAATTTATAACTAATTCATCACCATCATCATTTCGTCGGATTTGAATTCTCCTCCTCCCCCACTGACAGCAGTAGAACTAAGGTAGCCAATATTGAGGCGTGGCAATAAAATAGACAAATACTGCTTTTAAAATGAGAGAGCAGTGTCATAAGAAATTTAGCTCTACGGGAAATTGTGTGGGAGAAAGAAATATTTGAAGTGATCAAAAAACTAGGGCCGTCGAGATTCTAGTGGTCCAATTTGCACGGAATAAATATATACGTATAAAGTTAAAATAACAGTTTATATTTATTCCACTGTTGGGCAACGGCCTCCTCTGAACAAATGGTATTAGGGAATAGTCCGCCATGCGACCCCACTGCGTATTGATGAACTTCACATATCTTCGGTTTTTTTTTAATTGTTTCTCACGATGTTTTCCTTCACCGCTCATATCGTGTTCAGTCACTTAAAACTAACAATTTCATTAATGCCGGCACTGGGATTTTAATTGACTTTGCTCGATTCTTTTGGATGAAAAGCTAGCGCCCGGACACTGAGCTATCACGAATACTTACATTCTACAATTATATACAAACATACGCTCTCAAAACATAACATTCCTTTGGCTGTGAAGAGAAATAGACCATTTGTACGAATGTCACACGCATCTTTATTTTTCGAACCCCCCATAATACAATTCCGTCGCTTTCTCTTCCTCCCTTACAATTTGGATAATGGCTGTGGGTACAATTGTCCTGTAAGTAGCCATAGGTGTTTGGTTACATGAAACGATGTTCAAAGGTATTTAGATCATATTTATTTTTTGACATTACCGTTACTTTAGGATAACATTATCCTGTATTGTAAGGAGGTTAAACTTCACGCGGAAAAAATATGTTGAATACGTCCCGTGAGGGAATCGAGCCCACGACCCCTGATGCTGATGGCGAGAGTATACATCTTTACTGTTGGATGGATGTTTGTTACTCTTTGTTACTCGTTTGTTAATTTATGTACATATTTTTATCTATATCTGTATTTCTGTCTGAATGCTACGCCTTCAGCCTATTCTACGCAGACGTAGTCGCGGGCAGCAGCTAGTATTGTATACTTTTATTGATATTGTCACCATTCTTCCACTGGAGCGATGAAGAAACGCAGCTATTGAATATGCCTAGGATTTATTAGTAAACACTAAAGGACAGGAAGAGTTATTCGCATTGGCAAGCAAATGTTTATCTGATAATCTAATATATAGATGTCGACTACAATCCTGTTTTAAAATTACGGTCGAGCCTCAAAAGAAATAAAATATTATAAGGCTTTTATTATTCCTCAGATATTAAAAAAGAAACCATAACCAAATTGATAATTGTTGAGAGCTCCGTGGCGCAGTTGCCAATGTAATTGGCTTCTACGCCTATGGTCGGGGATTCATTTCCGACACAGGACAAATATTTGTGTGATCACAAATAATCGTTTCGGACTTTGCTGTTTGTTCACGTGAAATTTTCTAAAAAATGCTCTTAGAACACAGGAAAACATTATAACACAGTAAGTGCCTTAAAAATATAAAAGTTTTAGTACACATTTTTACATAACGTTCTCTAGTCCTAAACTAAGCAACGCTTGGAAAAAGGGTACTAGATAACTGATAGACATACTTAAACATACTTTTCTTTTGTAAATAAATACATATTATACATATATAAACACCCAGACACTATGTTCATAACACAAAATTTTTCCAGTACCGGGGATCGAACCCAAACACCCTCCGGCTCAGGAGGAAGGTACACTACCCACTACGCCAATCGTGTCGTCACTTTTAAAAGAGAAAAAATCGTTTTAATTAAAGAAACAATAAAAGAAAGAAGCGGCTGTCAAATGCAGAGCGAATGGCGCCAGTAATTTTATTTATAACATACATTATCTCCCTTCTTCTATCAGCTGTTCATTTTCGTAGACATTACGACCGTTATCCTTATTAGGAACGGAACAAGACAACATATCTCATACACTTCTGGCATCAGTTAAGAGCGCTAGGGCGCCAGTGCAATGGCCACTCACTCACTCGGGTGTGACATCGCTCCGGGATCGTAAAAATCTCGATATGGAAAAAATAATAACAAGGCGCCATTTGTATCGCGTGATGCGGAAAACTCCTTCGTGCATACATAATGCGACACTCGTTATTTCTCTTATATCATAATACACAAAATATCATCATAGTAATAAACAAATAAAAGAGGGGAAAAGGGAGACTTCCGAGCCCCTATTTCGCACGCAGAGACAGCGCAATATTGATGGAACGAAAATACATGAAAAATTTTATTATATAATACGAACTCGCACATATGTGCTAATAGTGACTTTATTTAATCTAGTTTTATGTTAGTTTGCTGAAATTATTACCTTGTGACACATAGAAGAACAGTCATGTGAAATCTGTAGGGTGTTGTTGGTATTTTTTATAACAGGAGTAGTACGTAAGGTATTACAGAATTATGTTTCCAACCTAATCTTAATTAAACGCTTTCACTGAGTTGACTTACTCGAATTTCTATTAAAAAAAAAAAAAAAAAAACAAGCCATCTCAGCTTCAACACGAAAAAGACATCTAGGTACTTATTGAGCTAGCACTTTCACCATGTACATGCAGCAGTCAGCAATAGTTCAAGCAAAGTCAGTAAAGACGAAATTCATCGCTGGCACGTGACTTGAGCACACTAGGAGCGTCGCTAGTTTAATCTGTCTCATTAATTTCGCGGAATTCGTTGCGAAACCAGCGACATAAACCGCCGACTGGCGATGCACCCGCGCGGTTGCGGCGGTCGTGCAATTTGCATAATTCCCGTCCTAGACGGGGTTACAATGCGAGCGTTTTCGAGAGATACTCGGCTTGCTCGGCGGTGTTTTCTTTACAGTGGAATTACGGAGGTGCATTACTTAGACCGAATGGTTTCTTTAATGAACAATTGAGCTCGCTGATTTAAATAAGAATAATATGAATTATCTACTTGAAAAGAATACTTGGGAAGATTCGAGACCGAAAAAAATCATATTTGAAAAACTTTTTCGTTTAAATTTTATTTTGTGAGTTCAATTTATAAACGTCATTACCTTATCACTCAAGCGATAAAGATATTGAGAGTGGACATACGTTTCGGAAACTATAAAAAAAGTCCTTACGAAGGCTAACTTTCACAGAATAAAGTTTAAAATCTTTGTACTTGGTAAGGGACCTTTTGGATTATTCAAGTAATTTTTTTAGATCTCAAAAGATTTTTTATTTTCAATTGATTTTTCTCGTCTCTGTTAAACGCTTTTACTTTAAAGCTTGAACGATTATCGTATCGACAACAATTGCGGTTCAGCGAAGGGGGGATCTTGATACGTTGTCGAGATTTAGAGGAGAGCACGGCAACGCTCAGTATCATACACAAAGCGGTTGACATTAAGTGCTCCGCGTCGAGTGTAAAACACTCGAGATTCGCTTGCCTTTCACGCGCTGCGTTCACTGGAGCACCATCATTGTATTCTATTACGAAATCCACCTTTCTTTGAGGTCGCTGGCGCTAAAATACGTGATAAAATTACAATTACCTTCGGACCGGCGGTGAGCGATTGGACAGGCAAGACCTTAGAAGGATTCCCGTTCTGTACGGATGAAACTATTGATAATTACCACGTCTTTTCATAGATAACTTTATCAATAGATACTTTATTATCGAGGCTTAATTCAACAAATTTAATTTAAAAACGATCCGCCTAGTTATTAAGTTGAAAGAAACATTGTAGAATTATTTTTCATTTGAACGCTAATCTCTGCACTCAATACAAACCTATTTTTGTAGATAAATGAAAAAAACATTCGGCGCTGCGGGATTCAAACCTGCGTCAACCGATTTTGCGCCTAGACGCTTTACCAACGGCCGCTTAGCTTAATTCGTTTGTCTACAAAAAATTACGATTTAAAGACAGATCGTGTTATTATAATCGCTTTATTTTTATATAGGAGACTTTAAAGTAATCGAGGTGTAATGTCAATTCGAATAAATCACGTAAACCTTGGATAGCTAGCTGACGATTCCTCTGGAGAGCACTACGAAAAGATGGTGACTAAACAATGAGCAAATAAATAGTGAGCTTCATTGC